TTGAAGAGTATTAATAACCGACATGTATATCTCCCTTCATATACATCAGTTCCTCCACTCGGAAATGGAAATGGACTAGGAGGAGGAGAAGGAAGCAACGCCTTTGGCAACTGTGGAGGTCCCTGCTTGTGATTCCCATGTTCCATCAGGACGTTGACGGCAGTAACAACAACTATCATGAATAATAAATACACTTTTTGAAACAAAGATTATGTCATGTGTATTTCTGTGTATAGTTCTACGATGTACGTAGTCTCATGGAAAATAAAGTTTCGTCATCGCCCACAGTCACAAAACAATGATATTTGTATCTGCTGTCAACTGTGAATGAGTGAGTGTAGGTTGACGCCGCTTTTAGCGATATTCCAGCAATATCATGGCGGGGGACACCGGTATGGGCTTCACACATTGTACCCGTGTGGGGAATCGAACCCGGGCCTTGGCGTGACGTGCGAACGCTTTAACCACTAGGCTACGCCGCCGCCCCTTGCTGTCTATGAGACAGAGAAAAGTACCATTTCTACGAAAGTTTAACAAGGTCATAATATATTAATCGCGAAATGTCGCTGACATTTTACGTTCTATCTTGAGACTTGGAGCCAATATATGAAATGTGGAAAGTAAAAGAATTCGTTAAATATATGAATGAATGAAAAAAAGGTTTTACGCCGCATTGAGGACTAATTCTTCAACATAACGGCGAGGGACACCAGAAATGGGCTACACTACTTTATCCATGTTGCAAATCGCACCAGGGCTTTCTGTGTGAAGAGAGAGAAAAGGTGTTTGGATGAGAGAGGGACAGACAGAGGAAGCAGGGAGGAAAGGGTGGGTATTTAAGCGAGAGAGAGGGAGGGAGGGGAGAGAGAGAGAGAGGATGGATGAGAGAGGGACAGACAGAGGAAGCAATGAGGAAAGGGTGGGTTTAAGTGAGAGAAGGAGAGATGCTCCTAGTCAATCAATATATGTATATGGAGGATAAAAGACTGACACTGATTAATCTTTACAGTCCTCATAATGATGACCCTCAATTTCACATTAATTTATGAAAATATTTTGAATTTTGATAATGATTCTTTGTAACCGTTGGAGGCTGGGATTTAGTGATTGATCCTACAATTGATCTTGATAATTATATGCATGTTAACAACATAAAATCAAGAAATACTGTATTTATCGAATATCATAATCTCATTGACGTCTGGAGGAATTTGAATGATAAATCTAGAAAATACACCTGATGGAAAAAACAACAACATGACAACAAGCCAGATATGATTTCTGTATTGTATCGGAAGATATATTTCATATAACTTTGGATTCAGATATTTTGCCAGGCTATAGCAGTGATCACCCAACAATAACATTAACCTTTTCAAACACTCTAAATCAGGAAAGAGGGCACGGGTATTGAAACTTTAATAATTCCTTGTTGTTATATCCTGAATATGGGAATATAGTCAGAACTTTTTTATATGATACTATTCAGGAATATTCAACAGAAAATATTGATAACTTTAAAAACACTGAACATATTAAACTTATCATTAATGACAATTCGAGGAAATACTATATCTTTATCATCCTACATAAAGAAAACCAGAGCAAAAAATACAGAAGAACAAGAATTGATAACTAAACAGGTTGAGGATACTATTAGAAAAAAACCTTTCAAAACATTGATGAAAAGCGTTTGAGTGAACTATCAAAATATAAGAAAGATACGGAAGAAATTAAAATGAGGACATGAAAGGAATACAATTCTTTTGTATGAAGGAGAAAAACCTTCCAAATATTTCTGCCACGTGGAAAATAGAATTTTTTCCCAAAAATCAATCAATATGTTGATAACTAATGATAAGAATGAAATTACAGACAGTAACTTAATTCTTAATACAAAAATATCTCACCTGTACATCATGTAGCCATATAACTTTAAGCCGTACGTATCACGGCTTGGTATATCTGCAATATTGTAATCTTGGGAACCAATAAAAAAAAATTAAAAAGCAAAAAAAACTCAATACTTAATGAAGTGAAGTTATTTTATAAACATCTCTATGCTTCACATGAACAATATACGGAAGAAGACTGCTCGAAGGATATTAAAACTCCAACTCTAAACAATACACTAAAAGACAATCTTGAAAGAGAAATCAGTGTAAATGAAATTAGCAAAGCTGTTACAGGATGAAGGATAATAAAAGCCCAGGGATTGATGGATTTCCCATTGACCTCTTTAATTTTTTAAAACCATTTTGGGGAAAATTAGAAATATGGATCTATGGATTTATTAAAGATGCATCAACCAAAAATTAAATGTCCTTGAATATGACAAGGGGTGTTATCACCTGTATTCCAAAATTCAATAAATACAGAACATTACTTAAAAACTGGAGGGCTATCACTTTACTCAATGCTATTTATAATATTATCAGCTCCTGTACTGCGCAAAGATGACAAACTACTTATTCACTCTAATCAAACTGGTTATATACCGGGTAGGACTATTTTACCGGGTGAAAATGCACGATTCTTACATGACATAATTTTTTAAACAAAGAAACAAAACATTCCTAGTTTGCTGATGATGATTGACTTTAAACAAAGCGTTTGGAACTGTTTCAAAAGATTTTATCAACCTTGTTTTACAAAAAATTGAATTTGGCCCTGAAATGATGAGTTGGATAAATATATTAACTTCATATGTTATTAAACAACATCTTGTGTCATCCAACATGGTAATCTGTCTTACTTCTTTGCAAATGAAAGGGGATGTAGACAGGGAGACCCACTATCCCCATACCTTTTTCTTTTTGTTGCTGAGATTCTTGGTTGCATGACAAGAAATAATGAAAATATCAAAGGTATTGTCATCAATTATAATGAATAGAAACTGGATCAATATACTGATGATACTGAACTATTTCTTGATGTACCTGAGGAGATCTTGTACCCTTCTATTAACACAATCAATACTTTTTACAAAATGTCAGGTTTGAAAATTATTTTAGATAAATCAAAAGCAATCTGGATTGAATCAAAAGTTAAATCTATTGATAAAATATATAATGATCTGAAAATTGAATGGGTAATAAGTGAATTTGATGTAGTTGGTATTAAATTTACACCAGATCTTAAAGACTTATGGATAATCAATACCAGAAAGAGATTGGAGGAAATTAATAGACACCTAACATCTTGGAGAAAAGAAATTTAACAGTTATAGGTAAAATAACAGTAATAAATACTCTAGCAATCTCCCAATTGGTTAATATTTTCAATTCCTTGCCCAACCCACCAGCAGAATTTACCACTACCCTTGAAAATATGTTTTTGAAATGCATTTGGAATTACAAGATTGCTAAATGCTGAAGATTAGTGTAATAAAAAAAAAAAACGATGAAGAGGGACGATTGCGAATGATTGATACAAAACGATTTGTAGAGGCTTCGAAATTATCTACTTTAAGACGGTATTTCAAAAGATGTGATAAGAATAACCCATGCAATATACCTTTCAAAGATATATTTTTGGAGCAAATTCTGAAACTTACGGGCGGTGGGGTAGCCTAGTGGTTAAAGCGTTGGCTCTTCACGCCGAAAACCCAGGTTCTATTACCCACATGGGTACAATATGTGAAGCCCATTTCTGGTGTCCCCGCCGTGATATTGCTGAAATATTGCTAAAAGCGGCGACAAAAACATACTCACTCACTCACTCTGAAACTTTCATTAAGATTGAAAATCCTTGTGGCGGGTTAAACCACTGTTATTCAATACCAATCAGGGATTTAGTAAAAACATCAAAAGGCTGCAGTGTTTTTGTGAAAAACCTATTTCCAATGATACACATCCAAACATTTGTAATAAATGGCGCCTTTTAATGTCCTGAAACCGAATTTGACTGGAAAGATATATATACACAAAATAGAAAAGGATTGCGAGACAAAACTTACAGATTTTCAATATAGATTTCTACAGGTATTACATGTATTTAAACAAAAAGAGAATTGCCTAAAATGAAAAAAGTCGATAACAGTATATGTTGAGTGGTTGTCACGTGTACTGGGAATGTCAGGAGACACAAATGTTTTGGAAAATATTTGTGTATATTAATATGATAGTGATGTTATATCTGTGCATCATTGATCATTATGTATCACGAACATATACACACATACACATGTCACTTCTTATACGCGATAAATATTTACACGATAGAGTTCAGATATTCACTCACTAACCATGCACGTTGTTTAACTATGTTCTCATCAACACTTACCGCCTCCGTGGTGTAGTGGTTAGAGCGTCCGCCCGGAGAGCGGAAGGTCGTGGGTTCGATCCCCGGCCGTGTCATACCAAAAGACGTTAAAATATAGTACTTGTTGGTCCCTGCCTGGCGCTCGGCATTAATGGGTACAACAAGGACTGGTCGGCTCGGAGTCAGTATAATGTGTCTGAGTGGGGTATTCAAGCTTCACTGCGGCATGGTATCTCAGTGGGCTAGCACTATAAAACCAGCTTCAGTCTGGGCTAGCACAAGCAGCCGCACATACACATACACATACACATACACACGCATGCACGTCGTCATATGAGCGCAATATTCTCAAACACGATGTTTAACCCAAATTCACCTCACCTCACCTCACCTCACCTCACCTCACCTTACCTCATCAACACCCGTCATTTTATCAGTGTTCCATTAATTTATTGCATCCGAAATCACCACGATTCAAATTACAAAAAGCACTACTGCCATATAACACTGTGTCAGGTTGCAAGGAATCCTTGGGTGCATGTCGCATATCTTTATAAGAAAGTCGAAAGCACGCTTACCTGTGATAAAATCGAACAGTAAGAACTCTATACGTGAAAACAAATACACGGCAACAGTAAACAATCCATTGTATATACAGGCTATGCATCAGCATGCGCACGTTATTGCCATTCAAATGAATCCACACTGTACACAACTGATTATTTGAAAATGAAACAGACTTCTAACAGCTGTCATACATGCTTGATCGGAGAACAGTAGTGTCACACGCGCGCCGGGCTGGAGAAGTAACAACCGCAACAGTACATACAGGGGGATATAGTGCGGCTTCATTCACAGGTAAGATGAGTCAAAATCTTGGTTTATTCAAGTCCATACTGCAGCTATACGTCCACGGTTTGTAAATAATAGGGGACAGAGCAGTCCAGTACCGTTTGCTTTACATACCCCGTTTACAAACTGTTGCCCTTTGGTAATTCCCGTGAAGATTCGGGGTAGAACTGGTCTTCAGTAACCCATGCTTGTTGGAAGAGGCGACTAACGGGATCGGGTGGCCAGGCTCGCTGACTGGGTTGAAACATGTTATCGTATCCCAATTGCGTAAATTGATGCTCATGATGACATTCACTGAATTGTCTGGTCCAGACTCGATTATTTACAGACCGCCGCCATATAGCTGGAATATTGCTGTGTGCGGCGTTAAACAACAAATAAAACAAGCAAAGCTCTTTGGTGAAACTAACAATATTTAATCGAAATCCGACAGAGCATTTTGATAAGTTTCAACCCAGCGACATCGATACAAACTCGCTGCCCCTTAGATCAGATCCTAACATGCTATTAACGTATTATTTGATAGCTAACATTTTATATGATCTTCCCTCAGACCACCATGTCGACACTATTGCTGATCTCACTGATGATGTGCGTGGCGATGGGTGGGATCTTGCAGGCAGTCCGTACGTATATTCTTGTTATTATTTGACCTGTTTATGTGATACGTGTTTTGTGATGAATAAGCTGCAAGTTCTCTTTGATGAGTGAGTGAAACAACACCGCAACAGTAGTTGAGTTACATCATGTTGTGTCAGAGTGATGACGGAACCCCCAAAATGTAGAGGACCGTGAATTAACCACCAAAGCAAAGTCTATCATCACTGATTCATTACATCAATGTGGAGTTAATTCTAGTCTAGTTCTAGTATGTCATTCTTATGTGAGAAGTGGACATATTATGCACTCACTCACTCACTCACTCACTCACTCACTCACTCACTCACTCACTCACTCACTCACTCACTCACTCACTCACTCACTCACTCACTCACTCACTCACTCACTCACTCACTCACTCACTCACTCACTCACTCACTCACTCACTCACTCACTCACTCACTCACTCACTCACTCACCCACCCACCCACTCACTCACTCTCTAATCTAGTATGTCATTGTTGTATGGGAATTGGACATGTTATTTTTCATAACTATATTTCGTAATCCCCGAAATGAAAAAAGTAATTTTCACAACATCATCGATGCTTATTTTCCAGACATAAAGATATATTTTGTCTCACTCGTAATTGATTTCTTTTTGTTATACTGAACATTTTCAGCTGATATGTTTCATTTGAAAATTATTAATCGGATATAAAATACGTGCAAACTACTGGTAATCTCACCGTTTCCAGCTGAATGTTCACCGACGTGCTTGAAGGGTCAGGTGTGTGTCCACAAGGATTGGGAAGACACGTGTGGTGAGTGTTTCCACATCAGCAACCGGTCCGTCAACGTTTAGATGGAATAAACCCTATAGAGCATTATGTATAACATATATAGTTGCATCTAAACCGTGGAGCAAATAGAGCTTTATATTTCGTTTAATTACATCATTTGTTTGATTTTCAATTAGGCATGCGGTTTTATATGGAAAATAGAACTATATATTTCGTTTAATTATAATTTGTTTGATTTTCATTAAGGCTTACGATATCATATAGAAAATAGAACTATATATTTCGTTTAATTATAATTTGTTTGATTTTCAATAAGGCTTACGATATCATATGGAAAATAGAACTATATATTTCGTTTAATTATAATTTGTTTGATTTTCAATAAGGCTTACGATATCATATGGAAAATAGAACTATATATTTCGTTTAATTATAATTTGTTTGATTTTCAATAAGGCTTACGATATCATATGAAAAATAGAACTATATATTTCGTTTAATTATCATTTGTTTGATTTTCAATAAGGCTTACGATATCATATGGAAAATAGAACTATAAATTTCGTTTAATTATCATTTGTTTGATTTTCAATTAGGCTTGCGATATTATATGGAAAATAAAAATCCTTTGTCTGCACTCGAAGAAAATAGTACCTGGTTATATTTGTATAAATTACAATATAATTTACATTTGTAAAAAAATCAAAAGTTAATATGGATAATAGACAGCTGCTTGTGGGTATGTACGATGTATTGTCTTTACAAATCAATGCATATTTTTATTCGGAAGGAATTTACAACATTAAAAGCATAGTAGAGGACAGCTGGTTGCCAAATCTAGTCTTACTCCCCTCTTCATGTGCCTCATCCAACATTTCATCACACACTTGCACTTAAGAACACAGAATACAGATATCAAACCGATGATAACTATCTCGACTACACATTTTGAGATTTATATTAAGTATCGAACAGTAGTTACAGTTTCATATCTGATTTTGTAGTTGAGCTTTTCTTACATAATCCTCGGACTAGAATGCCCTGCTGTCGTCCACGCGTTAAGATCCCCTGATAATGAATGCAGTCCTCAGTACAACTGAAATACTCTCCAGAGGGGGACGCCAAACAAAACTCCTTACTCACTTAATCATACTATTTCATTTTTAGTCACAGTGGAGAACAACGGGAACGACTTCATGGGGAACAATGGGGTAGGGAAATAACACAGTACACTGCCGACTGAACAGATCTGCGTGATGAACAGGATACTGGAAGATGTACAAGTCTTACCTCTGTGTAAACGTCTTCAACGCGAGGTTCCCCTCGGATTGGATGTTGAAATGAAAGAAATAAAATCGAAATCTGTTTTAAAAGATTGTATTGTTATATTTTGTAAATATTGTGTGAAGCAAATTGTCATGCCATCGTCAGTTGTATTCTATGTAAACACGGTGGAGCAACATGTCTCGCAAAACGAGGGGCGGTGGAGTATCCCAGTGATTAAAATGCCGAAGACCTGGGTTCGATTCCCAACATGGGTACAATTTGTGAAGTCCATTTCTGGTGACCCCCGCCGTGATATTGCTGGAAAATCTTTCACTCACAAACCGCAACTAACTGAGAGTAGTCTCTTGTTGTCACACATCTACATTTATGTTAACCCGTGAAGATCCGGGTTAAAATTGATCTTCAGTAGCCCATGCTTGTCGTAAGAGGCGACTAACGGGATCGGGTGGTCAGGCTCGCTGACTTGGTTGACACTTGTCATCGCACCCCAATTACCTAGAACGATGCAAATGGTGTTGATCACTGACCAGACTCGATTATTTACGCACCGCCGCCTCATATCTGGAATATTGCTGAGTGCGGCGTTTTAAAGCAACAAAGCAAACCAAACGTTTACGTTAACGAGGACACAATTTCATCATTATGTACAGAAAAACATAATTTAGTTCAAAGTTAAATTATTAAATGAAGTCTTTGTATTCTGGTACAGCTGGCACACTGACGTCACACAATAAACACATTGGTTCCGGCGCTAATCAGCAATCTTTAATGACAAATGCCGGACAACGTCTCAAGTTGTGACCCTTAATTCTCTAACAATAGAGAATAAAAGCTAAGAGTGAACGGAACGGTGGGGTAGCCTAGTGGTTAAAGCGTTCGTTCGTCACACCAAAGACACGGGTTCGATACTCCACATCGGTTCAATGTGTAAAGCCCATTTCTTGTGTACCCCGCCGTGATGTTGCTGGAATATTGCTAAAACGGCGTAAAACTACACTCACTCACTCACTCACTCACTCAGTTAGAGTGGCCAGAGACACTGACAGACGTATCAGTTGAATCACGACGTGCTGGCTTGATGTACACAACACCCAAAGCTGCTGCTGCCATAACCATTTTAAAGTTGGCATGTGTCGTGAAAGGACATAAGTATACTGGTATCTACAGCAGCTTTCTATAGTCTTGTCATCTTTGATCGTTCCAAAACGCCTCAAGCAGCAGTATTGGAACTAATGGCGTTGACCTATAAATACTCGATCCACAACGAGTACGATGGCCAGCAGTCAAGGAAGAACCATGTCTGTCACCCAATCCATTCAGTCGCCTCTTCCGACCAGCACGTAGTGTGCATTATATGGATGCTGACTAAGGTATAACCTATATGTTACCTTACTAGCAAGTACAGCAAGTATATTTTTGTAACTTGCCCTGGATGTCTACGTTAATAATTCTGAAATTACAGTACCAGTCTTGGTGCACACTAACAGACACACACACACACACACGCACGCACGCACAGAGAGAGAGAGAGAGACAAACACACAGACACACAGACGCACGCACGCGCGCGCGCACACTCGCACACGCACGCACGCACGCACGCACCCACACACACACCATTGTGGGCAGTTTCTGACTAAGGATTTGTCACAATATTCATCATGATATTCTTATTATGGTCTCATCATTACCCGAAATTTGCCTCATCTTAACTGAGGCTAATTTAGACTGTGCGTGCGTGCGTGCCTGTGCGTGCGTGGATAACCGTCGACATGTATCACCTATATAACTTGATTCTTCGTTTTCGAGGTTGAGTTCACACTGATATACTAGTATATAATATTTTCTGTGTAAGATTCGGAGGGGGCATGGTTCTACTGCGACGTTTACTGTGATTGATTTTTGCAACACATGTTTCAACAAATGCTGGGGCAATTGAACGTGATCAAAGGAGCTGAGTGAAATCTCGGTAAAGGCTCCTCTGGTAAAACCGCTTTGAATATGAAACCACTGCACTCAGTAACATTAAATTATCTACATAGAAAAGAAGTAAAATCTAAGGGCTTGGTTCGTCGCCCAAAGCAGCTGTTGCACCTATTGCACGGCATCGACAATCTTTCTAGAGTGTACTAGAGTGTACCGAAGGATATATTTATTATGAGAAAATACTAATTATTATAGGTAATTGCCATGGAAACAAACAGTTGGCAAAATTTTAAGAATCTTGTGGATAAGTACAAGTGGTGGCGCGTGGTCCTGTGCTCAAAGCTCAAGTCACAAATTGGTGAAGTTCAGCAGCGTCGAGCTCGGAGAGTCGTTGGATGGGTGACCGTGTTTGGCAGCGTTTGTTCAGTCCTGCTCCACAAGGAAGCACATATGAGACATGTGGTCTCACCTTAGGCAAGTGAGTTTGTTCAAAATTGTCTCTGTTCACCCAGCAGGAAAATGGGTACCCGGTGGAAAAAGTCATATGACCATAACCTTCTAGCGTCTAACAGGCAGCTTTGGTTTTCCGGGGTAATAATGTGCTGTGTCTTGATTGTTAGTGCTATGAGCATACCTAGTGTGGAGTTTGGCGCTATATAAATGGAAACATTATTATTATTCCCTTGTAACTCTAGAATTAGTTTTTCCGGGATCGATTCCCGACATTGGTACAATGTGTGAAGCCCTTTTCTGGTGTCCCCCGCCGTGATATTGCTGGAATATTGCTAAAAGAGGCGTGAAACTAAACTCACTCACTCTAAAGTTTCGTCGTTAACATCTTAGCCACACTGTGACTTAAGAGATTACTAGTATGCATTTACTAATACATTAAATAAGAACATATAATAAGAAGTAATAAACCACATATTTACTTTGAAACTAAGTTGTCACTATCAAAAAGAATTAAAGTTTTTGACGCTCACGATGCCACAGATTTCTAGCAAACCGAAGCTACCATTCTAGGCACCACTGGCATGCACTATTTCCTTGCTGAATATACACTCTCGTTTTGCAGGATGACGATTGTTGATAATAATGGTGAATTTCATTTCAAATCTGTTGCCTGGTTTCCATAATCCTCCAATAATTACACCCTTTATTCAAATTGTATATAACACCCCATACTACAGAATAGATGATATACTGGCACCGCTGTAATTGGACGGACGACACAAGCATCTGATTTGTAGTGTCCATTCCAAGATTACAAGGAATGATTTTAAGTGTCTTTTTTTCGATCATTTACGTAGCAACTCCTTTAATAGACCATTTACATAACAAGTCCTTTTTTCGACCATTTACGTAACAGCTCCTTAAACATTGGAGTAGTCATAATTAGACCACAACGTGGAACATGAAAGTGAAAACATTATTGACTTGATGTTCTGTGTCAACAAACACTCATAAATTTGAAAGAAATTGATAGAACACTTTTCATTGCACAAGAGATTCCAAAGGAAGAAAACGTCCTAACACTCAGTGTTTAGAGACACACACAGAAAACGTTCAGTCATAATCAGTGATGCAAATAACCTCCTTCTGAAACGAGTATTGATTATGTAAGTAGCCAGATGGTGATTCGCAGTACAAACACACCCATATTAGGTCTCGCTATTCACAAAAGAATGAACCATTGATTCATGCGAGGATGTAATGTAACATGCGTTACGCAAACACACGTTATCTTGTCTTTTTTCTTGAATACTGTACTCTCAAGAATAGTCGGGGAAATTTGAAAGTAACAAATGATAAGAGAACTACAAAAAGGTATCGAGTAATGGCAATGTGTGGACAAGACAGGGAGAACGAGTTGTAACATGGCAATAAACAGAATATATTGGTGTTGTTTTTTTGTAAGGGTGCAAACAACTAAGGAAGATGACAGGCGTGTATTGTCAAAGTATGACCGTTTGAGATGACTTGAAGAACAATGAATGCACCAAAGAAGTAGTATACACAATGAGGGTACGAGACCAGATGGCGTCGTTTTTACGAGACTTGGTCCGAATCTCTTGTTTCATTCAGTGATATTTTGCGATTTCTGATAGCACCAAACGAAATTCTTCCTCGAAGATTTTAGTGCCGGTGAGCGCGGTGGAAATATGATCGTCTATCGTGTTTAACTTCGCTTCGGCTAGAATTCTAATTTCGTCCTGTTCCAATGCTTTACGTTGCAGTCTGCGAGTCACGTACTTAAGCGCCAATCCCGCCAACCCTACCACTCTGGCTGTTTTTTCGATGCCTAGCACCACTGGTGCGGCCACGATGGTGGATAATAACCCGATACCTGCTACGCCTAATCCCATGCTGACTGAAACCAGAGTGCTGTCAACACCGTCCACGTAATTGACGGCCCTGTGATATTTTTTCTGTAATCCCGACCGCGTATCGCGTTCACGTTCTAGTTGTTGTTTGATCCCGCGTATCTGTTGCAAACGGAACCCGTCTACGGTTTCCAGTGTTTTTGCCACTTCATCCACGACCAGGTACAGTCCCATTGTATATATATATATATATATATATATATATATACTCTTTTTATAAAATAGTATTTAATTGGTCCTCAGTCAATGTTTGATGAATATACTTTAAGCTGATGAGGTACAAGTTTTCGTATATATAAATGGTATGGAGTACAATAAAATCCTTTTGAAAAATCATAATATCTAGGTTTGCAGTGGGGGTTCTACCTGGTTGTATGCAAATAAGACAACGTTATTGTTGATGGCGATCATGCCAGCGTATTTTTAACCCATGCAGAAGGTTTATATCTTCTCCTGGGGCATCTCCAAGAAATACGTCCATAATAAGAGTAGAACCTTGTATCACACTGATCCACGAGTCTGGCACATAAGTATATTTTAGTATAAATATCGCTCCTTTTTTCTCATTGGGGATTAACATGTTAGCCGTTTGATCTGGTAATGGCTCTACGCTCGTCCACGTTCTTCTTCCATGATTAAAACTCCCCAGAAGTATCCCGTTATTTTTTAGTTCGATGGCATTACCATCATCATCCATAACAAGATAGGGGAAGGTAAGGATAATATCGATGATCCAGTTCAACTGAGCTTCGATGATGACTTCTCGTCGT